AGTCCTAGGTTACAAACTGAACTCTCCAATGCAAGAACAAGATGCATTTCTTCCTTTAGGAGGTGCTATTGTCAGAAGACAATAAAAAGGTTTCAGTTTTGTTTTTGCATGTGGGTGGGTATTCTGTTTGTAATAATTGTTTGGATACACTATATTTTTAATATGCTAGTTGTGATAATTTCATGCCAAGTAAAAATGTCCATAGTCATATTTTATGTTCCTAAAGTAACAGAATGACTTTCAATCTAGAAAAGACAAAAGAAATGCTAATGCAGCATTTTTTCAATTTTTCCAAAAATTCCATTCCCCCCCCGAAAAAAACTGGTGAAAAACCGGGGTTTTTTCCGAGCTTCAAAATTTCCGGAAATTCTACATCTCTAAGCAAAACACACGTGGAAAAGGCAGGGAGGACGACCAATGCTCCCTCTAAGCTGTGGAGTCTTGTGAGCAAAAATTTTACTTTGTGAGCTACTGGCATTAAAACTGCGAGCGAGCGATTTGGCTGCTGCATCAGTTTGCTCTGGGGCCATCCTTCCGGAGCTAAGACAAAAATATGTGAGCTGGAGGCTAAAAAACTCACACTAACTCAGCTTAGAAGGAACACTGGGGCGGACCCAAAGCAATAGGGGGAAAACGAGAGACAGAAGTGACAGTACGGAAGTGCGAGGCAGTCTTCATGGACTCCCGCTGGATAAGACTTGTTGGGAACGCGGCCCGCATCCTCCGAGAACTCGGACTGCATCTGAAACTCCTCTACTGATCTGCCCCGTTATTGCAAGGGACGCATGTGCAAGAATGGCAGAAGCTCAAATTAACTCTGGAGCATCACACACAACCTGGACCAATGAACAGATAGCAAAAAACAAAACAAAACAAAACAGGCTATGCAGTAAGAACCGGACATCAGTCCAAGCAGCAGGTTACACAGACGACAACCAAACTCGCCTGTTCCAGAGTCTTTGCTTCGCATTCCCCAGTGATCAACAGATTCTGCTGCATCAGTGCAGATCCTTCGCAGGACCGTGACCCAGCATCTGGCCTACCGCTTCTATTGATCTAGGAGGCCTTATTTCTCCAGTCAACACAGGAGCGATCCGTGTTCATTCTGGTACCTTCAGCTACAATCTAATGGGATACTTACTAGGGAATAAGCCCAGCTGATCCCAACAGTGAGACACACACACAGGACCAAGATCCTGACAATGCAGGCGCCAAAGCATTGGTGCTGTCCCCTAAATATTTTGATGCCTGAGAGACTTTTCTCCCCACAAGGACTCAGCTAACAAGTCTCGAAGACGATAGATCAAGCTGGGTAGCTGTGTTAATCTGCCTGTAGCAGCAGAAAAGAGAAAGAGTCCGGCAGCACCTTGAAGACGAACAAAATTTGTGGCGGGGTATGAGAGCAGTGACTCACAAAAGCTCATACCCTGCCATGATTTTTTTGGGGGGGGGGTCTTTAAGGTGTTCTTGGACTCCTTCTCTTTCCTGAGTCTCCCGACATGTTCAGAACAAAATCAATGCAACGTTTGAGTCCAATGGCACCTTTAAGCCCGACAAAGTTTTATTTAAGGGGTAAAGCTTTCATGGGCAAGCACGAAATGGGTCTGAGGAAGTGTGTTGGCCTTAAAGGTGCCACTGGACCCAAACACTGGCTGCGGTCACACGGAGCATTAGCCACGCTACAGAGACGGAAGATAGGTGGATTTTCCGGGCGCAATCACAGCGCCACATCTGGGAAGCGTAGCGCTCCTGTGGCGAACCCGAGGCTTCCCGTCGAAGATGCGGGGTAAAAAACTAGTACCTCCGAGGTACTAGTTCCCGGAAACTGCAGGGCAAGGGCGGGCGCCTGATCGCGTTTCCGGTGGTAGGTCGTGGCATCCGGCGCCCACCCATGTCCCCACGCAAAAAGTTTTTCCCCCCCAAGTCTTCACGGGATGTGCACAAGCACCCAACGGCGCATGTGCACACTTCGTTTAAAAACAAACAACACAGCCCCCTCCTCTTTTCCGTACCCCCCCAATCCTGGCTTGGCCTGCTCAAGAGGAACTCTCTGCACTGGGCGACAGAGGGGGAGGTGCAGGGGGGCGTGGCGGGAGGGCAGCCCGGCCGAAGCTCCTCCTGGAGGAGACCGGACGGACGGAGGACACAGTTTGCATTCCTCTGCAGCCCTGGAAGGGGCTAAACCCATGGAGCCTTTTGCTAGGGAGGCCGCTTCTTTGCTGCGCCCCAGGATTGTCCTGTGATCGGCACCTCCCCCCTAACCACGGGACCTCGACGAGACGTCTGATTGCGCAGCCGCGCGTTATTTTGCTCCAGGGCAAAAAGCCACACACCCCCCGCATTTTCCTGCCCGTGTGACCGGGGCCTTTGTTCTGCTGCTTCAGACCGACATGGCGGCCCACCATGTGAATTTACAAGTCAACAGAGGAGAAATTCACATGAGCCCATGGTTATCTTAACTACAACCATCCCGTATGAGCCATTCCACTTGGTCAGGCTGTCCCAGACCTTCAACCGCTTGTATTTCTAGTGCTCTATCAAAGAGGCTTGCAGTAGGCAAAAGCAACAGTTCATTAACAGATAAGAACCGCCTATGGGGGGGGGGGGGGGGGGGGGGCGGAACCTGCCCATCCAGGGCTCTTACCTGGCCCACAAGCAACTGGTATGTATAGAAATGTACGTTACTCCCCCTTTTATGGTATCCCTAGGAAAAAAACTAGGAAGCTGTGGTGGCTCAAGTGGTTAAGACGCTGAACTGCAGGCTGTGGAAGGTCGGTAGTTCAGCAGTTCGAGACCCGGGTGCCGCATGACGGAGTGAGCTCCCATCTCTAGTTCCAGCTCCTGCCAACCTAGCAGTTCGAAAGCAAGAAATTGCAAGTAGATAAACAGGTACCACTTCAGTGGGAAGGGAACAGCGTTCCATGCGCCTTGGTGTTTAGTCATACCAGCCACATGACCACGGAAACGTCTTTGGACAGCGCTGGCTCTTCGGCTTTGAAACGGAGATGAGCACCGCAACCCTAGAGTCGAATTCGACTGGCTTTCGAGCAAGGGAATCTTTACCTTTAGGGAAAAAAACTAGTCTTGCATATGATTAAATACATTTATTGGGGATTTTCTAGGTTCCCTAGTAAATTAACTGCTTTAGGAATCAATTGCTTTTGTTTGTATTTTGAGTTTAAAAAATAATATTGTTGATTGGGTTTGCCTGCGTCCTTTATAAAGTTTATATCTCCAGTACCTGGCATTACACTTTACAGCACAAACGGCCTGGCCCGACAAAGTGACATTTATGTCAGACCCGTAACAAACGAGTTTGACACCTCTGGCCTAAGGGTTCATGGTCTTATCTTCCTAATATCTCATTACTGTTGCCTGGGTGGCTAATTCCCTGTGCTAGGGCAGCGCAAAGGAGGAGGACGCAACAGATGGAAAAGCAGCAGCCTCAAAGGGTCAGGACTGGCCTTTGCAAAATCACACCTAAGCGTGGACAAAATCTGCGATAGCGCGTTTTGGAGGCATGCCACCAACAAACATGCACAATGCTTCAGAGTTTTTTGTTTGTTTGTTTAATACGCTATCGTATAGGCCCACACACTGCTAAAAAAATTATTGCTTTTGGCAGAGAGAGAATGAGAGAAAAGAACAAATGCTCTCTACGTTACAAGCTTTCCTTAGTGCGGTTGCCTGAAGGTGACTTGTTATTCACCATAAGTGTGCAGGCACACAACTGTTTTTAAGGCTAAGTCTTACACTCGATGTACCCCTCTCTCTTTTTTTATTTTACTCTTGCAAGGCTTGAAATTCTTCACTCCATGAACACAGCACACCGCAATCAGCATTATGGCTAGAGAACAAGAGAAATAGCAGCTCCCGGAACTACCCTTACTACCGCTACATGGCTGTGCCCGGGGATCAGGCACACCAAGTCCCACCCTGTCCCGCTCCCCCTTGCTGTGTCACCGGGCCGACCTGCTGAGCAAGTCCCAGTTTTACCTTGGTATGTCCTCAGAGAGGCATGCTTGCATACAGAACCCTAGGCAGGGCTAGGGAGGCAGGGAATCAACAGGGGCTAACAAATCAGGCCTGGCACACAGTTCAGCTTAGTTTATTGTGATACAAGATCAGCTTGGCCTGGAACACAAACGCACAAGACTTGCTGCTTAAATCACTTCAGGCAGCCACCGTTTTTGCCACCCTGATGCTGTGAGGGGTTTAGCAGCACCCAGGTTCGCAGGCTCTGGAATACCCTTCCAATCATCTATTAGCAGCCTTTTCAGTATTAGCTAACAGAGGTCATTTCGGGGGGGAACGCAGTTCCCCCGGGTGAGGTGCAGGGGGGCGGGGCACATGACAAAGCCCCACCCCCTGCTTTTGGCCGCCCCGCTTTAAGCCCTCATTCAGCCAGGAGGAGGCAGGAGAAGAGGGAGGGTAAGTTGCTTCCTCCCCGCCTCTCCCCACCCCTGCCTGCCTGGGGCCTCACACTCCCGCTGGCCTTGCAGGTCCACCGCCGGGCCCCTGATTTCAGGGGGTGTGGCATATGCTAATGAGTTATGCTAATGAGTTCCCCTAGCTCTTTTTCTACGAAATGACCCCTGGCTATACAGCATCCGCAACGGGCACAAGTGCCGCTTTACATGGCCTTCATAAAGAAAGGGAGAGGACTCTGCCCGCCAGGTGCATACAATTTAAATTCAACGAAGGGGGAAAAGAGACAGGAAAGCAAGGGATGGACATGACCAAATGCAGCAATCCTTCACTACAGTCCAACCAAAGCCAGACAATCGTCACATTTTCCGTTCAGAATTCTCTCAAGCCCCGCATCAGAGATCAGCTGCATTTGTGCATAACCGTCCTCCTGTGACTCCTCCCTACTTGCCATTCTACCTCCCCCCCCCAACTAAAATTCAGAAACATAAGCATCTCAGAGCGAGGATCTGTATTTTTACTTATGCTACCCTAAAAATGACCACATGCAGTTTTATATATAAACAGGGCTATTTTGGGGCAGGAACGCACAGGAACGGAGTTCCGGATGGCTTCAGAGTTGGCCACACCCACTACAGCCAAAACCTCTGTGTGCGTGGCTACACAGGGAAGGCCTGGAGAGCGCCCCCCCACGCGCGACTCCGAGGCAGGTGGGCCAAGAGAGCCCTGGAAGGATAGTGGAGGCATTTAAATGCCTCCCCATGCCTTCCCCGGCCTGTCCAAGGGCTGGCTTACCTGAGCTCCCCGCAGCCACAGGGTGCCCAGGCAAGCCAAAGGAAAGGCAAGGGGTATGGCCTAATATGCTAATAGATTTCTGCTGTCAGGTGTGGCCTATTATGCTAATGAGTTCCTGCTGGCCTTTTTCCACAAAAAAAACCCTGTATATAAACAGAACCAGCTAATTAAGGGATGCATCCGAAGTGTTGCCTCTGCCAAATCCCATCATACCCACAACAGCCATGTAGCCCTACAGGAGACAATAGGGAAGAATCCCGCCAAGCCATCCACAGAAGCCAACAGTCGTGCCTCTGAGCCAACTCACGAATTCCTTTTGGGTGGGCACCAGTGTTCCCTCTAAGCTGAGTTAGTGTGAGCTAGCTCACAGTTTTTTTAGCCTCCGGCTCACACATTTTTGTCTTCGCTCAGGAAGGGCTCCAGAGCAAACTAATTGATGCCGCAGCTAAATTTCTCGCTCACTGTTTTAATGCCCGTAGCTCACAAAGAAGAATTTTTGCTTACAAGACTCCACACCTTAGAGGGAGCGCTGGTGGGCGCCATGCCCCCTTGTGTCTCCAGATCCCCAATTCCTGATATGATCTCATGCATAGACAAGATCTGCAGACAAGATATAGCGTCATCCACAAGCCAGTCTTAAGGGCCTCCTTTGTCACATTTCATCAGCAACAACACTTCTCTCACAGATCAAGGAGGGTAGCCCTGTTACTCCGTCTGCAGCAGTAGAAAAGAGAAAGAGTCCAGCAGCACCTTAAAGACTGACAAAATTTGTGGCGGGGTAGGATCTTGCGTGAGTCACTGCTCACTTCTTCAGGTACCTGAAGAATCTGAAGAAGCATCTGAAAAAGTTTCTGAAGTGAGCAGCGATTCACGAAAGCGCCTACCCTGCCACAAATTCTGTTAGTCTTTAAGGTGCTGCTGTACTCTCGCTCTTTTCTACTTCTCTCACAGAAACAGAAGTCCAGTGGCAACAGAAGCCAACAAAATTTCTTCCACCACCTCCTGAAGGGAGCTTTGAGTCACCAAACCTTGCATCAGAATAAATTTGGCTGCTCTTTAAGGCAGACCTGGACAAATGTTCGTTGGCTCTAGGGGCTAGCCCCAAAATTTAGGAGCCATGCTCATTGTCCAGCCTTCAGAGTTCCCTTTAATGATCACACTTCCTAAGGATTGCTGCCACAAACTATAAACTCTTCACGGTTCCTCATACTTTTATGGAAGCTATGGCACAGTTATTCTATCTGTCTATCTAGTACTGCTCATATGGCTATCACCTTAAGTAGAAACTAGAACCAAAAATATTTTAAAAGACCTTACTCAATTATCGTAGCATATAAACAGGGGTAACCATGGCTGCCACCACCACAGCAAAGCCTAGCCTAACGTCTTCCCAGTTCCTCATAATTTCATTATTCCTTTTTAAAGCTCCATTTAATCGAATGTTAAAGCCAGTATAGGAAGCCACTGGACCTCTACCACAGAGGAATAGGGTAAAACTAATGAGGAACAACTCCATGCACCTTTTTATGTCATACAACAGAGCATTCTGGTGGGAAACAATAATCAGCTTTGTTCCCCTTCAGTGGATCACTAAGAGATACAGCAACAAAATCATTGTTGCAATTTCCTGGTGCCACCGTGGAATTTCTAGGCGCTATGGCGACCTGGGACTTGTCAAGCTCTGCCTTTTTAAAAAAAAAAATGTAAAATTTGATTGAGTTTATTACAACATGTATACAAAACAAGAACACAAGAGTATCATACAACCTTGTGGTAAGTAAGATACTGAACATATAATATGCCTAGAATGTCATACAAAATTAGTTCTCTATTATGCTGCATTAGAGAGATGGATCATAACACTGAATTTAAATCAACCAACTACCAAACATAAGAACATAAGAGATGCCAATGTTGGATCAGGCCAAAGGCCCATCCAGTAAAACACTCTGTATCACACAGTGGCCAGAAATACCAGGTGCCATCAGGAGGTCCACCAGTGGGGCCAGGACATTAGAAGCCCTCCCACTGTTGACCCCCCCAAGCACCAAAATGACAGAGCATCACTTGCCCCAGAGTCCCTATCTATACCTTGTGGCTAATAGCCACTGATGGACCTCTGCTCCATATGCTTATCTAATTCCCTCTTGAAGCCGTCCGTGCTTGTAGCCGCTACCACTTCCTGTGGCAGTGAATTCCAAGTGTTAATCACTCTTTGGGTGAAGAAGTACTTCCTTTTATCTGTTCTAACCCGACCGCTCAGCAATTTCATGGAGTGCCCAAGAGTTCTTGTATTGTGAGAAAGGGAGAAAAGTACCTCTTTCTCTACCTGCTCTTTCCCATGCATAATCTTATAAACCTCAATCATGTCACCCCTCAGTCGTCATTTCTCCAAGCTAAGGAGCCCTAAGCGCCTTAACCTTTCCTCATAGGGAAAGTGTTCCAACCCTTTTATCCTTTTTCCAAAGCTATAATATCCTTTTTAAGGTGGGGTGACATATCATACAACCTTTTAAAAGTCAGATATTAAGCAAGTCCATATGAATCAATGTTTTAGGGACCACATTGTGAGAAGTCAAATAACCTAATACAGGAAACCACTTTACTACAAATGTGGAGTATATATCCCAATTCATATTACACTGAGTTATTTGATCAGTGATTCCCCCGCCCCATTATATATAGATTCCATATCTTGTTATGGCACATATTTGTCTCTCCAAGGTCTGCCTTGAAGCGTTACTGGACTCCTGGTCTATTCTGCTGCAGCAAACTGATGTGGGATTACCCCTATGGAATTAATATCACTCAGGTTACATTAAAAAAGAGCAAGAGTCCAGTAGCACCTTAAAGACTTTAGATTCCACAATGGGATTCCACAATGGGATTCAGCACCAATTAAGAGCGATGCATTCCCTAAACCCCCCAAAAGGGCGAGGCAGTCCGGAGTGTCACATACCCCTATAGGCATCACGAGGCCAGATCCAATGGGCCACCCCCACTCCCCCATGGCCGAGCTCCCGATTGGCTCCGCAGCATGACAATCATCCCTTCCCCCATTGAAACCCAAAGGAACTGGGGCTTGGCCAAAAGCATCCCAGCCAAGAAAGAACAAGCAAGAATGACCAGGCCCCGCCCCCTCCGCATAAGGCTTTCTTCTGATTGGTCGGCACGCTTCTGTGTAACAAATGGACTGGGCCCCGCCCAATCAGAAGCCTCCTTTCACGAATGGGAGAAAAGGGAAAGCGAACACGGCGACCACTCTAGGTTCTGCGGTACCAAGGAAACAGGTGGCCCGGCCAATCACGTGGTGCCTGTCTTTGCGGCAAACGAGGCCAAAAAATACAGACCCTCCCATTAGCCAACACCCTACTCCTCGTTTCCCCAAATGAAAACCACTGCAACCAATCAAGTACGGCCTCTGATGGCGCACGTACGGGTTGTCACATGAAAGACCGCCGCTGATTGGACACTGTGCCGGGGACCCGTCTCTCGGGCCTCTGCGACCCAATTAGCCCACAAGCGCTACCCTTCAATACACAGCAAAGGGTCCGCAGTCACGGCCAGTACCTGGACGTCCTCGTTCCGCAGCTCGTCGATTAGTACAGCAATAGGGTAAAGCGAGTCATCTCCGTCGGCGGCCGCCATCTTAGCTCCCGGCTCCGGTTCTGAAGGGTGCGCGGGGTTCACGCTGAAGCCTTGCAGGGGCGGTTCGGATGCCATTGGATGCCAGGGTTGTGACTCCCGGCCGTTTCATTGGTTCATTTTTTTTACTAACCCCGCCTCTCTTATACGTCTATTTGAGTACTGCTTCCATCAATCACCATACTATTCGCCTAGTCATTGGAGGATCTTTTACGTATGCGCCCAGCCAGAAAAAAATTGGGGAACGAAGAGCCGAACTCCCACCCCCTTTCTCTACGTCTATTGGCTGAATCGATTGTCTCCCCAGCCTTCTTGATAGCGGAATTGGCCCAGTTTTATATCTGCAAGCCTATCAAACCCGCGAGACGGTTCTCTGAACTCCGCCTGAACGTCCCTCCTCCCATTGAAGTGCTATTGGATACATCTTAAACCCGCCCTCATCTATTTTAATAGGGATTAGGTCTGTGAGAGACAAACTCTCAATCCAATCGCAGGTCGTTGAAGGCTTCGTTGAATCGGGAGAGGCGGGGGAGAAAGAAAAGCAGCGGGAAGCGTTGCCTAAGCAACCGTACGTTACGCTTGCAACCGGGGTAACGGCCCTGTAATGACGTCTCCACGTGGGTGATGTCCTTGTAGGTTGTATCAGGAGGGCCAATAGAGGATATGACAAAATGCATTTTATTGCTGCAGATATAGAGGCCTAATTTTATCCTTAGATTCCGACTTTTTTAATGTTTTGGAAAAAATGCACATTTTATTTCTATGTCATAATTATTTGTTTTGTTTTTATTCGTTGTTGAGTACATATAATTTATATACTGTTGTTATGCTATTGTTAAATGTATATTTTATTTTTTGTGTGTTTACTTTTATTTATTTAACTTTTATCTATTTATTCCTATGGATTCAAACGGTGTTAACCTTTCAACCATCCTGGGTCCCAGTTGCCTGGGAAAAAGGCAGGCTTCTACATATTTTATATAACTGTTTAACATTAACTAACTAGTATTTCTGCAACTTGCTTCTATCAACTCAGCAATCGGTCCCACAGAGGTCAATGGGACTTACTCCCAAGTAAATGTGTGTACATTTACTAGCCATGGTTAGTTAAATTCAGAGGAAAGTCCCATTTGGTCCAATGAGATTTACACTCAGGTAAGTCTGAGGTGGTGGTTGTTGTTGTTCAGTCGCACAGTCGAGTCTGACTCTTCGTGACCCCATGGACCAGATCCCGCCAGGCCCTCCTGTCTTCCGCCGTCCTCTGAAGTTTGCTCAGTTTCATGTTCGTTGCATCTATGACACTGTCTAACCATCTCCTCCTTTGCCGTCCCCGTCTTCTTTGACCTTCAGTCTTTCCCAGCATCAGGGTCTTCTCCAGTGAGTGCTCCCTTCTCATTTGGTGGCCAAAGTATTTGATCTTCAGTTTCATTATCTGGCCTTCCAGGGAACAGTCAGGGTTAATTTCTTTTAGGATTGACTGATTTGTTCTGTTTGCAATCCAAGGTACTCTCAAGAGTCTTCTCCAGCACCATAGTTCAAAAGAATCTATTCTTCTCTTCGGCGCTCGGCCTTCCTTATAGTCCACTGAGGTTGTAACACAAAGCATTTTTATGAGAGAGCAACCTTTTAACTTAGAAGCACTAAGTACACTTAACATTGTGTGTTCAGCATACCTGAACTAGTAGATCAGTACACTTGGTTTCCCCAGTGTGGTAAGTAGGTTTGCCAACTCCAGTTGGGGAAATTCATGGAGATTTGGGGCTGGAGCCTGGGGAAGAGCAGGGTTTGGGAAGGGGAAGGACCTCCATGGGATATACGGTCATAGAATCATCCTCTAAAGCAGCTAGGATTGCAGGTCTGGGTTAGAAAATACCTGGAGGCCTTGGGGGTGGAGCCAGGAGAGGGTGGAGTTTGGGAGGGGAGGGGCCTCAGCATGGTACAATACCATTGAGTCCACCCTTCAAAGCAGCTATTTTCTCCAGGGGAGCTGATCTTTGTCAGCTGGAGATCAGTTGTAAAAGCAGGAGATCTCCAGGCCCCACCTGGAGGCTGGAGACCCTAAAAGCAGCCATTTTCTTCAGGGAAACTGACCTCTCATCTGGGGATCAGTTGCAATTCTGAAAGATCTCTAGGCCTCAGGCCACCAGCTATGAGTTGGAAAATACCTGGAGGTTTTGCGTGTACAGTGTGGGGAAGGCAGGGTTTGGGGACGAGTGGGACCTCAGCAGGATATAATGCCACAGAATCTATCCTCCAAAGTGGCCATTTTCTCCAGGGCAACTGATCTCGGTTATCTGGAAATCAGTCATAATAGCGGGATGAGGTTCACGACCCAATGGACCAGGCCCCACCTGGGTAACTCTTGGGGCTAGTAGTAGGTATTTCAGTTCACAAAATCAGCAGGGAAGGGAGAGGTTTGAGCTCGCTTTCTGTTGTGTCCTGGGAACCAACACAAGGCGTTGTGATGTATTGAACCGAGTACTTTACACTCTCCTTGTCTGCCACGGTCTGAATCTGAATTGGGCCCCTGCACAGTTGGGAACTGAGTTCCAAGCACAGAATTTGTAGCGCATATCTGACCCTATATGTGCAGTCCCCTAAGGGGCAAATAAACAGGCTGTTTCGGATTAGGAAAATGGCACCAGGGAAAAGCAGGCTGATTGCCCTGCACCACGGTCCTAATCCCTCGCTTGTCAATGTCTGAATCACAGTCGGGGGAACCCAGTCAACTACACGTTACCAATTGTAACCTGTAACTGGACTCTGATCCTGACGCGAGTCACTTGGTTTCTCATTGTA